GATATTTAAAAAAAGTTTTCTTTTATATATATAAATTTTTCATTTGATACATGTGAATTTCTATTTCAAAAATATCGTAATGTCTAAATCAATCTAATTCATCGATTACTCTGTACAATTATGAACAAATATAAATTTAGCAAAGAAGATCATTAAACGGTTTTCAACAAAAATAGATTGTAAATTTAAGAATGTTGCTATGAATAATCTCATGGCTTTAAAAATTTTTCATTTATTAACAGCGTTGTTTTACATGATTTTTACATGAAACTAAAGTATATGATTCTATTATGTTCTATATGCAATATTACATTCTTATATGTATTTATATTATATATAAAAGCTATACAAGTTTCAAGTGTACTCATAAATAATTTCAAGACCACAATATCGAGGCTCTATTCAACACGCGATTTCCTATTTAATCAGACGGAATGTGATAATGATTTTGTCAAAAAAAAAAAAAAAGAATTCATTGATATCTTCGTGTTATTTCAAAGAACAAAAATTTTAAATTTTTACGTTATTATTTAGTGATAATGTAATTATTTAATAATTATTATAATGGAACATAATGGTATTAGAAAATATCTTTTTCTCCACCGCATATTCTTAACATTTTTTAAAGATTAGTTAGAATATAGAAATTTGTCAACATATGTAGTAGATAATATTATGATCTGCCCTGTTACATTATATTAATTTTCAAATTTTTGTCGTTTATAAGAAGACAAAAAAATCATGCTTTTCGGACAGGCTGTCATGAAAAGTCTCTATGCAACTTCGCGTCATGTTCATTAAAAGTCAGTCTAATGAAATTAATTTAAAGTTTCACTTCGGATGAAGTTCCATAGTACTTCAAAAATATCTTTAGTCCCTACATTATCAATGTGTCAAAACTAGTGCACACCTAGATAATATACGATCATACTTCTTTATCAGCGACAAAGATACGTTTGTAATAATCTTTTGATTATGGTACATTAAATCCTGGTATTCGATTAATAAATCTATATTTAATCGAATTTCAAAGCTATTTAAACTGAGATTTCATATTTCTCTAAAAGTTAAAACATAATTTAAGTACAAAAATATGAAAAGGTTCTCAATTAGTTTTCAATCAAGTTTCACAATGAACATCTTTCAAAAATACCACAAATACTTTTACTTTTGTTGAACTGAGTGTAAAAACTGAAATGAAAAAAATCCGAGGATTATCGAAGAGACTAAAGTTCGTTCATGTACTATTACTTGCAAATACAATTCAAACATGTATTACAATTCAGATGAATCTTTTCAATTTAATTTAATCTTAACATGTGCAATCAACAGATGAAATTAATTAAAAAAAAAAAAAAAAAAAAAATAGCTAACTCTACAGAGCGACTTTAAGTATGCCTGTCCATTGTTGAAACTTCAGATCGATCGAAAAACACGTGGAAAAAAAGATTTGATAAAGCACCAGCCATTTATTAGAAACGAATATGAAAATACAGGAAATTAGCAATACTAATTACAAGTGAAATGTCAAAACGTAACATTTAGTTCTAATGGAGTTGCGCTAAGCTTCCAATTATTTATGCTCGGCTAATGGTACATCTGAGTTTCCAAACGAAATCATTTCAGTCCACCAACTGAAACTGAATCTCTAATTTTGCATTAGATTCACTAGCAATTTCCTGATCTAGCATCAGTATTTTATTCATTCATCTGTATTTCACGCGATCTTCTAACGAGCCTTCTACCTCCTACGTCGATATATAGTATCTACGAGATATTCTCTATCTTCCTAGTTTCTCGATATCGCATCGAATTTGCCTGCACCATCTTTCCTAGCGACAGCCTGACTTCACGAAGTTTCAATCTCCTGCGGTTATCTAACCTCGCTCTAGATTCGTCTGCACGTGACTACATGTTAAAGACTCCCTGATTTGACATCAAGAGTTTGCCTTTTAGTACAATAATCCAGACGACTCGAAACTTCGCGCTCGCATTGGAACTTCTATAAACTAATAATAATACCGCATGCATGGCGATAAAATTGAGAAACGAAGGGAAAGTTCATTTTTATACGGTAAATGTCGGATTTAAATTATTATACAGAATGTATGGTGGTACAATCGAGAAGGGAGTGATGAGAAGACAAGTCGAGAATGAAGAATAAATTTTTTTCCTTTTTGGAACATAAATTCATTTTCGAGAAGCTCGAGTTTGAAAATCTGAATAAACGTGTTTCGTTAAAAATCATAGAACACGCATAAATTTTAACCGTTTGCATCGATAATTCTTAGATGTACCGTATTCTCATATGAGACTTCAAGTGACACTATTGATCTGCACGCATGTGAATATGAAAATACTAAACATTTCACTAGCTGTATATAAAATATAAAGCTATAGATAAGAAAGAGTCCATGCAGAATAACAATGTTCCAGATATTTTAGAGGAATTGAACTGAACTGACACACAATAGAGTATAGAGGATTGGCGCAGCTGTTCCACTATTGACAGAATTGTCGGAATCAAAACGACGTGCCAGTCGTCCCTATTGAAATTTCACATTGACTGGTAAACCATTAATTAATAAATTCTACGATGGAACACGCGGCTGGTTACATTCTACAGGAGTTTAATAATATACCCCCTACGCACAATGTCAGTACGCGAGTACTGTTTTATCTTACGAGTACATAATTTACTTAAACATCTCGTTCGCTTGTGACGACTTTCAGACTACGGAATTGAAAGTTGAAATCGAAAACATGCGCAACAAAAAGTGTAAAAAAAAAAGAAAACAAATTTTATTTAGGTTCTAGTTTCTTAGTTGGACGCTTGAAATTTCGAAAATGCATAAAATTGTAAAAAATTGTAAATTTGTTTAGCACCATTGATATTTTTTTGAAAAAATAAAATTATATAAATATACCTACATTCTATTTATTAAATAATAAAGTAGCAAAGTAAATTAAAATAAATAATGAACTGATGATAAAAGTATATGATAATAATAATAATGAATAATAGATGGTAAATTCATTACCTTTACAATATTATCTACGTTTCAATTAATTCCAAAATATGGAATTACGGTGGTAACGATATATAGACTATACCACAGAACGTGATTAGCTTAAATTACTCTGTGTATACAGGCATGTATATGTGTGTTGTATATGTAAATATTTAATCATCAACTAAATTTCCATTATTTTCTATGCTCAAAGCTGCTAGATCGATCAATGTCATCTCAACCATAATAATTTTGATCAATAATGCATCATCTTTACATTAAAGTTTTTATTGAATTGGCAATGCATATGAATTCTAGACTGCATATGGTTAATAGCAACATCATACGCTCTAATAATAATGATCAACAGTTTGAATATTTCACATCTCAAATATGTGGTTTTAATGTTTTTTGAGTACTTTCGAATACGTTGATCAAAAGCTTCCTGTCAGTGTTGTACCAAATGTAATATAAATTGCTTATTATTATTATAATCATTGTTCAAACGTTATTTAACGTGAATCAAAAATATATATATATATATTTTTTTTTTCTATGCTGGATGTAAAAAATATGCAGTGTTTATTTTTTGCTGTAAAACAGCATCTGTTTTCAGCGTAATTAATACAATTAAACGAACAGACGAAACCATTACACTGTTGCCAATTACTGTTGAAATACGAAACAAGCAACATTGTATTATTGGTAATTATACAGAATAGGGCAGACCTGGCCGAGAATATGGTTGTACAGTGACTCTCCTATAATTTGAAGTAACATTGAAAAATGTTCAAACGAAAGTACATGACATGTAATACATATAATAATCGTTTTATTATTATTTTGCATTTTTATTGAGATTATATAAAGGTTGTCTTCAATCTTTTAGATGGAACGATATATTTTTTTATATCCACCAATCGATGCAGCTCAAAAAAAAAAAAGTATTAACTTACGCGTATCAAAAAGCTATTAATTTTAATCTTAAAATCTTAAAATCGTGAAAAAAATGGAGGAGAGACAGGAACACTATTATCTTTCACGCGTAGATTTTATAAAATCAGACCTAATTAACTGATATAATTTCCTGGACTAAGGAAAATATTTCCTAAACTAATAATTTTTTTATGTGATATACGTATATCAAAGATACGTGTAATTTAAACCAATGTTTATCATATAAATTAATGTTATAAACGTTAAAAATCTTCTTTTCACTCACGAATATATTTACATACATTTTTACATGCAATTTAAGAAGATTGCTCGTGATGTATGTAATCTAATATAATTCTGTATAAATAACGACACATACCCAATCCTCTTGAATCCAATCGATGAGATTCTGCTGATCAGGATCTTCCCTATAGTGAATGATGAACGCTTGGAAACCGCCAGTGGCTTGTGACTTTATCTGCACGTCAAATCAACATATTAATTAATTCTTGACAATAAGGTAATAATTCTGCAGGTAATGTTTATTGTTGAAATAAATTTTAAGCCTACGACACGGGAAATTCTAGCTTTTGTCACTTGAACCTCAAAGGTTCAAAGTGTCGAGCCGTAAAAATTGAAATCCTCGTAAGATGAACTCGAGCTATTTTTAGCTGTATATAAATTTTTATAGTAATTTTTATCTAAGCAAAATATGATAATAATCTAATATTTCTACGAGCATATATTTTGTAAATATATATTTTAATATTTCTATGAACATTGCTAATGTTTTTAATATTCTATAGTGTGTAATATTCTTTACGTGTTAAATGTAATAATCATCTCTTATTTCATTCTTTCTAAAATTTTTCTTTTATCATGTAAATATAAGTCTAGTTGTACGATTCAAATCACATACAAATAAAATAAAGTAAACATCGTTGCAATAAATTACATATTTTTTTTTAACTATCGCAAATTATAATATACATTAAATCAATTTATTCAAACATTTTATTTATTACGTAATGGAAATGTACAACGTACAGAATTTTCTTCAACTTTTCGTAAAAAACTTGGTTAAAATTAATGAGATGGAAATATCAGACCTATGACATTTTTTTTTTTTTATTATTATTTTTATCCACAGAGCCCACTGGTAAAGTTTCCTGCAGAAGCTTACGAGACGATTATATAATAAATTGTGTCATAAATTTATGGAGAATTTTTTTTCATCAACCTACGCCAAATGTTATTAATATTAACAGAGAGAGGTGTTACGAAGCTTTTGTAACAACTACCAAAGTAAATACTACCATTGAAATCATTTTTAAAAAAATTTATTTAATTAAAAACTCGCAACAATAAATTAACACCTACATAGAATTTTATTACATATTACGTACATCTAAAAACTTTTTCTAAAAACATTAATGTAATGGAACTTACCCAGTCCTTAAAGACAAAGCCTAAAACACCGGCTGCCATCTCCATTAACAATAATAACGCCAGAAATATCGCATACTGGAATAAATATTATAAATGTGATTAAAATATTAGAAATGTGTGTAAAATTATTGCAATTCTGAAAGTTATTCTAAATATAAAATGAGGTGTAAAATTATATAATGTCATACAACGGATTTTGTGTATGGTATAACAGATTTCACATTTTATTTGAAAAGAGGTATCAATAATTTCAATTTAAAAAAAAGAAGCGGGGGAAATCTATGAAAGACCAAGAATTAAATTGTTATATTATACTTAAATTGTTATATTATACGTTGATATATTATATTTACATTTAAATAGGAATAACAGAACTTTTATATGGTGCAACTAATAATATAATAATAATTGTGCTGATTATCTGGATTTTAATTCCACAATTTTTTCATCAATCAGAAATACATATATATTTTCTTTTTACATATGAAACAGAACTTTCAAAAAATAAAATAAAAATAAAAAATTTTTTAAAAATGTGTTTAAAGAAAGATTTTCCATCATTTTCCAAACAACTTTCCAAACAAAAGCAAAATTTCCACTGTTTCGTTACTGCAGAATAATCCAACGAAAATCTGTTTAATTTAAATTAATATCAAATTAATTTTGATATTAAAAAAAAAATCGCATCAAATAATTCTAGTTATCTACAGTGATTATTTCCCTCAATTATGTACATTTATACAACAATACATAGTTACACATAATGCAGACATTAACCTTTCGATAGTATCGATCATCGAGTGTTCATGTTTATTTGTTTGCTTATTGCTCCACAAAATGTGGAGATTATAATTTGCCTGATAACCACAATATCAGTATCATGTAATCATGCACATTGTGTTATATACCACAATATTATGAATCGATTTCTACCAGAAAAGTTAACATTAATGTTTAGCATTGTTAATTGTTTACTTACTCGATATCTAGCACTGTTTGTAATTACAAATTCTGATTACAAACTACAGAATCGGCATCAGTTGCAGATGAATTTAATCGCCACATCAAATCAACGCAATATTTTTGAAATCCTCATCTCTACTACGAATTATTTCTCAAATTCTATTTTGAATGAATACTTCTTATTATATACTGTTAGTGAAAATCGATCTGATCGAACTGATATAATAATTCGTGATAATCTTAATTTTATATAACGCACGTGCAAACGATTTCTGTGAAACGTAAGGTTTCTCCCATCTATTGTCAGTTTGCTTCAACTTCAACTTCTATGAGGAAACAGCAATATATTTGGGGAAACTTGAAAGCTGATTCTGTAGTTTCGGTGGTAACAAAGGGAGCAAATCCAAGTGTTCGTTTTACTTTTTAAGAAAACTTTGCCAGTTTGTGGAACTGCTAGACTCTGAGTGCTCTCATACTCGCTCTTCAACGCGAACGACTATTATAAATCGCAAGTGTTTACAAGTCGTTAACAATCAATGTTAAGATAAGAATAACAATGACAGAGATCAGACAAGTAGCCTGTAAATACTATAATTAAAGATAAAATTATATTTTTATCTTTCCTTCTTTCATATTTTTTTCACAATTATTCTAATTGGTTACAACAATATTACTTAAATTTTTAACACTAATGTATAACTTTCTATATATATATATATATATATACAGTAGCTATTAATCTTCCATTACAATTTACCAAAATTTATTTACAATTTAAAGATATAATCGTGCAAACATTACAAACATTGTACGATAATCCAAGGAGAAGTGAAATTATAGATTTCAAATTTTATATTTATACGTGTATTATCGTAGTTTTACGAATTCTCTCTTATTCGAGAGACTCCATTTTCAATAATATCCCCGTACATTTGAATATCCTGTGATTAAAAGCGTTTGAAACGCGCTTGGGGTTGGAAAGATTTTTCCATGAAATATAGAAAATCTACATACGAAAAGATACGCGGCCGTGTGCTTAAAAATGATTAAAATAATCCGCAAATGGTTTATTGAATATTCAAATGCTTACCGTAGCTAGGAGGCACGTATTTTCCCTGAGTGCACCAACACATCCCGTAAAACCGATGATAAATGTCACTGTACCTGTGCAACAGAAGAAAAATTATTCGAATTAAATATATTACGTTGATATTTACTACTAAGTTTTACTACGTCAAATCACTCTGCTCTATTTATTACATATGTACAACAGTCTGATTGTCTTATCTTTTACTGCACAAGTCTTTTCGAGTTTGTCATCTTGCGAACGAATTGCTTCATTTCATTCGGAAGTTATATTTAAGGAATAACGAATAAATGATGTGTTGTAATCGGATTGCGGATGTTTTAAGCTCTTGTGAAAAATTTAGAAGTACGAAAAGTCTGCAGAATTTATACAAATCGTACATGAAATATCCAAAGCGTTGTAACATTTATAAGTGAATTTAGAAATAAATCTCCGTTTGAATTACATTTCCTTAATCGCGCTTGAAACTGCATAAAGATCCACATAATCTATATTATTATAATTCTTCAAATTTAATATATATATATATAT